ATAACTGCATACTTGATAGTGTGAATACCTTTCGATACGTGGTAAATCTGAGCATGTGTAATTGGCTGCCATGTCATTGTGAAACCTCACAGCTTCAGTCAGTGTCAGCACAGGCAGCTTGCACCTAATGCACATATCAGTGGGCATAGTCTACAGATACCTAATGACTCAGGTACTTTAACAGTCACCAATGAGTATATCTCCAAGGAACAGTCCAGCAACACATGGCTGGCCTGACTCAAGGTAACTATATGTCCAATCCAGGGTCATACTGAGTGAACATCTGCCAACCAGAGGTCATTCCCCCTGCCTGCCACTGAGCAGTTCAAAAGTGACCAGTGTAAGCAGATGTGAGTGAACTTGCTCAACTATTTGCCTCTTCCAAGGGGATCCTACTCAGGGTCTAGGTCATTGTGCCTTATTGGAGTCCTACACATTTCACTTGCAAATTATGTTTGAAAATTAAATTACTGATGACTATGTTGCTAGTCATTCACAAAACATTTTTTTAAATTGCAATTCCAGAACACATATTAACATCCAGTGACTTGTAGAAAGCAACAGAGAAATGTATGAGGCATGTTCTGGCAAAGACCAGTCTGATACTGTCCTGATTACCCAACCTCAGGCATTGGTCACATTAACTTGCAGAGCTAAGAAAAATAAATAACGTACCAGCCTTGTTACTCAAGACATTAGGAGCTATTGATTCATATAGATAAAAGATTTTAGCCAACAAAACATTACATCATCCTGAAGAATATGTTCCTCTTCCAGAGAACCCAGGAGGTTATAATGACCCCTGGAAAGCCCAACCAGCAATAACAGTGAAAATTACATAGGTGCATGAGTGCAGAAATATAATCTCTACTGAAAATGCATTTTATACTAGACAAGAATTAGAGGATATATGTAAAACTTTTGCTCACAAAGCCAAATCAGATGTATAAATTCCACATGGTTTAGGAGTTAATGGTGGTAAATCCATTATGCTTATAGGAAGTGAAGTAGGACAAATGACTGGAGTAGCAAATAACTCCAGAATTAATGGTGAATTAGTTGCTAGAGCACAAAATATCCAAGACCTTCCTGACTTTGTGATGGGGATGGATAACAGAAGTTGGGTGAGACAATACCCAAACATGATTGTTACCTAAACTAAACAATGGAAGACTGTAGAAGATGCCATTAAGATCTCTCAAGAATACGGAAGATTATTATTCACTTCTTATGGGACAGAACTTTATAGAGCACCTGAAAAAATTCCCATGAAAAACCACTTTTACAAAATGTCAAGTGACGGTATCCAAGATGAAACCAATGAGTCACAACATTCACATAATATACCGTACAACCCTGATCTCTTGACTGCCATAAAGTGTTTCTTACCTCTAAACCAAAGTTTCATTTTACTGTTTAATTTTTCTCATTTTTTCTGTCCTCTTAGCTTAAGAAAAGATTATCACATAATTTTTGTACGTTTCTCATATATTCTTGCAAAGGATTGTAAAATTTTATTGTGATTATTCTTGCTTTAAGCCAAAACTTTCCTAATCTTTCTTTAGAGATTGTGGCATAGCACGCTACTTTCCTTTCCATATTCAGTTGTTTCCTCTGTATTCATTACCCTAGCTATATGATTATGTCTTTTGAACCTCCCCTGCCACTAGGTATGATCATGTGACTAAGTTTTAAGCCGATAATTTGTAAGCACTATGCTATGAGTACCTTCTAAAAATTCTCCTTCTTTTCTTTCTCTACCCTACTTTCTGGAATGAAGATCCAATAGCTGGAGATCAATAGTTATCTTAGATAATGCAGGTAGGGGTGATGGTCAACATGTTCTATTAACTCCCTTACTGGAAGATAAGTTTTACAAGAATAAGAACCTTATTTTTGTTGATCCAAGCAATATCCCCAGCACTTACACACAGTGTGCAGCGTGTTTGCTAAGGGCTCAGATATTAAATGGATATTGAATGATTCCATGAATTAATTAGTTTACTCTGGAATCATAAATAAACAAGGTCTCAGCTCATTCCACAGAATCAAATTCCTGATTAATTCAAATTACACTATTCTAATTTATTTCTCTTGGCTCTCTCAGACTTACCAATGTTATGGAAGAATCGGATTTTTTCTTAACATACTTCAATATTGCCTTCAATCAAAATGTTTTAAAATAAAAAAAAAAGTTTTAAAATCTGTTGCTTCCTTCAGTTCTTCATTATTATACAGACCAGTACACACACATCTGACAGAGACTCCTCACCTTTGTATGGTTCAATGACTCAGATTCTCAGAATAAAATTAAAACCACCCCAGCATCAAATTTAGGGTCAAATAAAGGTGGGTTTGTATCCCGGGTTCATATACTGTGCAGCAGTGTGGTCTCAGAAAAGTGAACTCCTTAAGCCTTTGTGTATCTACCTATGCTCATCGAGAGTTAAGACTGTTTCACACATACAGTGCATGGCATGTAGAAGGGACTTAATCAATGTTGAATGAAAGGAGGCAAAATGTTCTGGCTGGGAGCAGTGGCTCACCCCTGTAATCCCAGCACTCTGGGAGGCCAAGGTAAGTGGATCACTTGAGGTCAGGAGTTAAAGATCAGCCTGGTCAACATGGTGAAATCCCATCTCTACTAAAAGTACAAAAATTAGCCAAGTGCAGTGGTGGGCTCCTGTAATCCCAGCTACTTGGGAGGCTAAGGCACTTGAATGAGAGTCACTTGAACCCAGGAGGGAAGATTGTACCACTGCCTGAGCAACAGAGCAAGACTGTCTCAAAAAAAAAAAAAAAAAAAAAAAAAAAAAAAGTTGCTCTTTTACAAATATACTAATCTACAATGTCACTTCCCCTCCAAGCTTGACTTCCACCTTTACTTTGGTAAGGTTTGGCCATGTCCCCACCTAAATCTCATCTTGAATTGAAATCCCCATAATCCCCATGTTTTGAGGGAGGGTCCTGGTGGGAGGCAGCTGGATCATGGGGGCAGTTTTCCTCATGCTGTTCTTGTGATATTCAGTGAGTTCTCATGAGATCTTATGAGGTTTTGGGGACAGAGTCTTGCTCTGTCACTCAGGCTGGAGTGCAGTGACCCAATCTCAGCTCACTGCAGCCTCAGCCTCCTGAGTAGCTGGGATTACAGGCACACACCACTACTCCCAGCTAATTTTTGTATTTTTGGTAGAGATGAGGTTTCACCATGTTAGCCAGGCTGTTCTTGAACTCCTGACCTCAGGTGATCCACCCACTTCGGCCTCCCAAAGTGCTAGGATTATAGACATGAGCCACCATGCCCAGCTGAGATCTGATGGTTTTACACGTGTTTGACAGTTGTTCCTTCTCATGCTCACACTCTGTGTAGCCATGATGTAAGACATGCCTGCTTCCCCTTCTGCTATGATTATAAGTTTCTTAAGGCCTCTCCAGCCATGCAGAACTGTGAGTCGATTTAATCTTTTTTCTTTATAAATTACCCAACCTCAGGTATTTCTTTATATCAGTTTGAAAATGGACTAATACACTTCCTGATAACCATATTGAGGATTTAGGAAATTCAGAGTATCTGGGATCAAGTTGTGACTCCATCCTAAGCAGTCATGTAACTTTGGGGAGGTTATGTATCCTCTCCATCTCAACTTCTGTAAAATCTGTAAAATGAGATTTTTTTGTGCTATGCTCATTTAACCCTCTGAGCATTAGAGGGTTTAATGCTCAGAGGGTTAAATGAGCATAGCACAGTGGGGATGCTGTCAGGCACATACTGCTTGCCAGACGTTGAGTATTCATCTTTATTGAATTAGGACTGTGGTGCCCCACTTTGTGGCTCTCAACTTTGTATGACAAAATCATACTTAGTGCTTTGTTAGTAAAGAAATAAAATCTGAAAATCCCTGCCATGGAGGGAAGAAAGAGGGGAGAAAAGGAAGTTGGTAAGTTTCAGCATTTCAGAGCTTGGAAAGGGACAAGTTAGGTTTCTATTTTATGGAGAAGGAGGTGGAGACAGGATGGGTCCTAAGGTGTGGTTCAAGACACAAAGTCATAACCCTTTATTGAGAGTACAGCTAGGGTTCCGGGGATTGCTGTGGTCACATTGCAGATAAAAACTACCACTCATTGGAAGACAGGAGAGGAGTAAATACCCCTCCCTGTCTATGGGGCAGCTGGGGACTCAGGAAAGGAGTATTTAGCAATCAACAATTCAGGTGTATCTAAATTCAGTCAGCAAATAAAAGTTGTTCATCTTAGTTGCTAATGGGACCCACTCTACTAACTGAAGCTTTGTGTAGAATTCATAGGGCAAGATGGTTTCGAGTAACAAATCATTCTGTGCTTTTCTTAGGAGTTAAAAGCTCAGGAAAGCTGGAGATAAATGAAAACCTTAGTCCCACTGGCACTACACTAGGGGTCAGGAGAGCAGCAACATCATAAGACACGGGGTGGGGCAGCCCAGGCAGGAGCATTCTGAGCTGTGGGGGAGGGGGCAGCCAGGGTGGGGTATTATGCGGTGTGGGGTGGGGCACTGTGACACACAAGCCTTGGCTCCTACTTGAGCCAGTGGGCTTTAGTCTGTAGGTGACTGCAGAAGGAGGAACATTTCCCTCTGTACTCTCTCAGAAAGTTGTTTCTCTCAGCACTTGTTGGGTGCATAACTTATTCAATAAGCCAGCAGGTCTTCACCCTCCCAGACAAGTAAACTCAAGGGAGGTGGTGGGGTGTGGGCCTTGGCATTAGCCCCCTGCTGGGGCAGGGCAGGCAAAGAGCAGGCAAGAGCATTTCTGCAAGTTCAGCACAGCTTCTGCCTAGGACAGTGGGAGTGCATGGCCAAAGTGGTGACCAGAGGCACAGGTGGTGGCAGACAGGAGTAGAGGTACATTATGGGGAATACACTGACCTGTTGTGTGTGGTGCCCCAGGGCCAGCACCCATATGGAACAGCATTAGGGGTCCATGTGTCCCTGTGAGACAGAAATCTATGAGGCAGCTGGGGACACGATGGAAGGAGCACTGGTGACTCCAACTGCAGAGCCTGCTAAGGTGACTTTTGAAGTTGGTGAGGGCCTTCACTTGGAACAGCACCAGGGCTCGGTGTGTCCCTGTGAGACAGAGGTCTACAAGGCAACTAGGGACACAATGGAAGGAGCACCAGTGGCTCCAACTGAAGAACCTGCTAAGGTGACTTTCGAAGTTGGTGAGGGCCTTGACTTGGAACAGCACCAGGGTTAAACAAACAGGAATTTATCAGGCAAAGAGAAGAGCTCCCAAAGACACAATTGTTATTCCTTTGGAACACTATGGCCAGCAGGAAAGGCCCAAGACCTAAGGCAAGAACTGAGATGAGGCCAGCTAGAGAAGGGGTCTGAAAGACACATGAGGCAGAGAGGACACCTAGACTGTATATTTAACATCTGAGGCTAGATAATGCCCAGAGAAGGGGACTCCTACAGGGCAAGGTTTCTTTTTTCTTTTTTTTTTTCCCCCTGAGACAGAGTCTCTCTGTCTCCCAGGTTGGAGTGCAGTGGCCTGTGTTCAGCTCAGTGCAAACTCTGTCCCCAAGGACAAGGTTTTCTTATAGGGACAGGTGGAGAATTCATCAGGCTTAGATCAAAAGAATCTCAGATGACGACATAGGCACATCTAAGAAACTCCTCTGTAACACCATTCTGTGCAACCTGGCATCCAAACAGGGCTTGATTCTGCTCGAGAAAATATAACAGGCCAGGCACAGTGGCCCACCACTTTGGAAGGGCAAGATGGGCAGATCATCTGAGGCCAGGAGTTCAACACCAGCCTGGGCAATGTGGTGAAACACTGTCTCTACTACAAGTATAAAAATTACCTGGGCTTGGTGGCACATGCCTGTAGTCCCAGCTACTCGGGAGGCTGAGGCAGAAGAATCGCTTGAATCTGAAAGGTAGAGGTTGCAGTGAGCCAAGATCATGCCACTGCACTCCAGTCTGGACAACAATGTAAGACTCCGTCTCAAAAACAAAAAAGCAAAAGAAAACAGAACAAATGATAACAAGTACATGAAAAGGAGCTCAATGCCATTAATCATTAGGGAAATACAAAAAAAAATTTTTTTTAGATGGATCCTTCTTGCCTCAGCCTCCCAAGTAGCTAGCATTACAGACACCTGCCATCATGCCTGGCTAATTTTTCTATTTTTAGTACAAATGAGGTTTCACTATGTTGGCCAGGCTAGTCTTGAACTCCTGACCTCAGATGATCTGCTCACCTTGGCCTCCCAAAGTGCTGAGATTACAAGCATTAGCCACCACACCCAGCGGGAAATACAAATTGAAGCCACAAATCAAAACCACAATGAGATACCACTGCCTGCCCACCCATTAGGATGGCTATAATCAAAAAAGCAAACAATGGTTGGGTGCAATCATTGTTTAGTGAAACTTCATCTCTACTAAAAATACAAGACTCTGTCTCAAAATAAATAAATAAATAAAATTTAAAAATAAAAAAAAAATGCTGAGTAAAGGAAGCCAGACACAAAAGGTCATGTATTTCATGACTCCATTTATATTAAATGTCCAGAGTAGGCAAATTCATAGAGACAGAAAGCAGATAAGTGGCTGCCAGGGCCTGAGGCAAGGGAGGAATGGTAAGTGACTGTTTGAGTAGTATAAGCTTTCTTTTTGGGATGATAAACATATTTTAGAACTGTATAGAGGTAATGGTTGCCTAATATTATAAATGTACTAAATGCCATTGAATCGTACACTTTAAAATGGTAATTTTGGTGCATACCTGTAGTCCAAGGGACATGGGAGGCTGGCTTGAGTCCCTGAATTCTGGGCTAGAGTGCACTCTGCCAATTGGATATCCACACTGAGTTCAACATCAATATGGTGACCTCCCAGGAGCGAGGGACCACCAGCGGCCTAAGGAGGGGTGAACAGGCCCAGGTCAGAAAGTGAACAGGTCGAAAGTCCTGTGCTGATCAGTACACCTATAAATAGCTACTGTACTCCAGCCTGGACAACATAGCAAGATCCCGTCTCTACTAAATAAATAAATGGGCCAGGGACTGTGGCTCACGCCTGTAATCCCAGCACTTTGGGAGACCAGGCAGGTGGATCACAAGGTCAAGAGATTGAGATCATTCTGGCAACATGGTTAAGTACTATCTCTACTAAAAATAGAAAAGTTAGCTGGGCTTGGTGGCACACGCCTGTAGTCCCAGCTACTTGGGAGACTGAGGCGGGAGAATCTGAGACAAAATCATGTCACTGTACTTTAGCGTGGCAACAGAGTGAGAATCCATCTCAAAAAATAAAAAAATAAACAAAACGGTTAATTTTAGCTTAATTTGAAGAACATTGGTTGCAATAAGCCAAGACTGTGCCACTGCACTGCAACCTGGGTGACAGAGTGACACCCTGTCTCAAAAAAAAAAAAAAAAAAAAAAAAAAAAATTAAAAAAGAACATTGGCTGTCAGAGCCATTTAAGTCACTTGCAGTCATTGCCTTCTCCACCCAGGTGAACACCAGGTCTCTGCCTAACAAAGGCAGGGAGTGGCAGCTAGGGAGATTTACCAACCCCACGCACAGGCGCTGAGGCATAGCAACCCTCCACTGCCTCTGTCTTCTCCACCTCAGCAACTCTCTCTCTGCCTGGTGATGCCACAGGTGCCCCTGAACCCTCAGAGGTGTCAGAGCCAGAAACTGGGGCAGAGGGCCAGCTCCTTAGCACTGACCTTCCCTTGAGCTCACTAAGTGGTTCCTTCATGGGTTTGCACAGTCAATGCACCAGCCTGTCAAAGTGCTAGCACCTTGTTCTGCTAGAGGGGCCCAGACAGATAAATGAGATCCTCTCAGATATTCCATAAATACTGACCACATACTGATGGCCTACTACGGGCCAGCACAGCACATGGGGTTTGACATGATTATTACATTGCATCCTCATGATAACTCTGTGAGATAGATATCGTCAGGGCCACAGTAGGATTTTTGTGGGTCTGAGACACCATTGCCTATGTAAGCTCCTTCTTCTATACAAAAAATACTAAAAATTCTATTTTACAACAGAATTAACATAGGTATACTTAATATTGTCTTAATATTATATAATAATATTATATATTAAGACTGCTCTTGCCCAGGTTAGAAAGCAGTGGCACAATCTTGGTTCACTGCAACTTCTGCCCCTGGGTTCAAGTGATTCTCCTGCTTCAGTCTCCCAAGTAGCTGGCATTATAGGCACCTGAGTTTTGTATTTTTATTAAAGACAGACTTTCACTATGTTGGCCAGACCGGTCTCGAACTCCTAACCTCAAATGAAAGGCCCCCCTTGGCCTCCCAAAGTGTTGGGATTACAGGTGTGAGCCACCATGCCTAGCCAAAAAACAACTAAAATGTTTTTATGGACCCCTAAAAGTACCATGGGACCTAGAATATTGAGCCTCTTGTGCCTGATGGGTGAGTCAGTCCTGGATATTATTGTTATTTCACAGATGAGAAAACTGAGGCTTAAATTACAGAGCTAAAAAGTGATAGCTTATGGAAGGAGCAGGATTGGAAAAAAAAGTGGCAGGGATACATTTATGGGCAACTGATTTTAGAAAAGGGTGGAAAGAAAATGGGGGAAAGAATAGTGTTTCCTAAAATGGTACTGGTACAGCTCAATATCTGCATAGAAAAAAATAAAGTAGACCTCTACCCACACCACATACAAAATTAACTAAAAATAGATCAAAAACCCAAGTGTAATAGGTAAAATGGTTAAACTCTTAGAAGAAAACATAGATGTAAATCTTCATGGTTTCTTAGCTATGACACCTCAAGCACAAGTAACTAAAGGAAAAATAGATAAACTGGACTTCATCAAAATTTTTTTCCATTTTATGACACTATGACAGAAAATCAAACAACAACCCACAGAATAACAGAAATATTTGCAAATGTCCTACCTCATAAGGCTGTAGTATACAGAAGAGATTAAGAACTCCCACAATTCCACTTAGCACGGTGGCACATGCCTGTAACCCTGGCACTTTGGGAGGCCAAGTCAGGCAGATCACTATGTCAGTAGTTCAAGACCAGCCTCACCAATATAGTGAGACCCTGTCTCTACTAAAAATATAAAAATTAGCTGGGCATAGTGGCATGTACCTGTAATTCCAGCTACTTTGGTGGCTGTGGCAAGAGAATTCTTAAACTCAAGAGGTGGAGATTGCAGTGAGCTAAGATTCCACCATTGCAGTCCAGCCGGGGTGCAGAGGGAAACTCCATCTCAGGGAAAAAAAAAAAAAAAAAAAAAAAAAGACCACCCACAGTTCAAATATAAAAAGACAAATAAATAATTCCAACATAAAAATGGGGGCTGGGCATGGTAACTTATGTATATAATCTCAGCACTTTGGGAAGCCAAGGCAGAAGCACCACTTGAGGCCAGGACTTAATTCTGAGAAACATAGCAAGACCCCATCTCTATTAAAAAATAAAAAATAAAGAAATTTAAGAAGCTAGGTATGGTGGTTCCCACCTGTAATGTCAGTAATTTCGGAGGCCAAGGCAGGTGGATTGCTTGAGCTCAGGAGTTCAAATCCAGCCTGGGCAAAATGATGAAACATCGTCTCTACAAAGAAATACAAAATTCAGTCAGATGTGATGATATGTGAGTCTCAGCCATTCAGGAGGCTGAAGTGGGAGGATCAGTTGGGCACAGAAGGTTGAGGTTCCAGTGAGCCGTGGCCACATCACTGTACCCCACCCCAGGTGAGAGAGGGAGACCTGTCTCAAAACAAAAAATTTTGGCTGGATGCTGTGTCTCACATCTGTAATTCCAGCAGTTTGGGAGGCCAAGGTGGGTGGATCACAAGATCAGGAGATTGAAACCAGCCTGGCCAATATGGTGATACCCCATCTCTACTAAAAATGCAAAAATTAGTTGGGTGTGGTGGTGCACGCCTGTAATCCCAGCTACTCAGGAGGCTGAGGCAGGAGAATCATTTGAACCTGAGAGGTGGAGGTTGCAGTGAGCCGAGATTGAGCCACTGCACTCCAGCTTGGGTGACAAAGTGAGACACTGTCTCAAAAAAAACAAAAAACATTTTTTAAATTAGTGGGTATGGTAGTGCATTCCTGTGGCCCCAGTGACTCCAGAGGCTGAGATAGGAGGATCCTGTGAGCCTGGAATTGCGAGGCTGCAGTGAGGTATGATCATGCCAC